GGAGACAAAGATAAGTGTTGTATTGATCCAAATCCCATATGGGATGCTTACAATCTAAGTGTTTTGTATTTAGCTTTATCCTCTTAATAGCTGATTGCTTAACTTCATAAAATATTTCTGAATGACATAAAAAACATGCACTCAAAAAGGAAAACTTTGAAAGGTAAATAAATAAACGAGGCTATTAAGATTGAAGTCATACAATGGACAGATTTGCTGGAGATCACAGAATGAAAACATTAGATTAATAACTAAAGAAAAAACAACAAAGAAATATTACCTGAAGTTTCTGATTGAGTCCTAGCTTGCAAAGAGCCACATTTGAAATTATTTTCTCCTTCTTGACACTAAGAAGGCCCTCATGATGATTTTGATATGTTTTGAATAACTGCTGACTGACAGCATATTTGAGGAAAGAATCACCTAGAGTCTCTAGTGATTCCAAATGAAATTTTTCTTGGCACTTCTTTGTGGTAATTGCTTCTAATATCTACCATGCAGAGTTGGGTTGGGCAGAAGTTAAACCATTAACTAAGATTTAATCAACATTTCATTTATGAAACAAGAAATGTAAAGGTCAAATTTCATCCACAAAATAAACCTACAATACTGCCATCATCACATATATATATATATATATTAATTATAGTTCAACCACATGAAAAAAGGTGCTTTGCAGTTCTAAAATAATGCTACTAACCCTGAAAATGTATGCATTTATCAGTTCTAAATTCCCAAGTGTTCCATACCATACCATTGAGTAACCTGCTTTTTAACTGTAATCTGCAGCTTCTCTTATTAACATACAATAAGTTTGGTCATTTGACTTGGATAGTTACAGTAAATCACTATGAACCAAGCATAGTTCACATTCAGAAACTAAAGTAAGCACCATTCTTTTAAAAGCATCACTTTGCAAGGTTTTACAAGCAACAGTCAGTCCAGATCATCAGTAAAATGAAAAAGAAATTAGCCCCAACTTGTACCTTAAAAATTAGACATGTTAAATGTCAAATGAAACATGGCCTTCCATGCTTTTAAAAGCATCATGTCATATGCCATAACAATTACAAGAAAACAAGGAAAAAAAGAATACCTTGAAGGTTGGAATAATAACATTTTGCATGCAACAATCCAGATGCATCTTCTTTAAGTTGATAGCGAGGAGCAAAGACTCAAGTCGATGCATAATTGAAGGGATGAATGTGAAAGAATAAACTGTACTTGTAGATATGGGGGACATGATGATGTGACAAAGTTCTGGCGGCAATTCAACAAATGTGTTACTTGGCTCTGCAAAAGGACAAATGCAAAATCAGATAATAAAGCAGAAAAAAAAAAAAAAAAAAAAACTTTTCAAGATAACATAAAGAAAGGAAATTGGTAGAAGAGCATTGCATTGCTAATGAAACATGTTAAAGGGCTAATCTAACATCACAGCAGACAGCCCTGAAAATTTAGGTCACCTTCCATGTGACTCTAAATCAGAATAATTTGTCAAGAGAGTTAAGATCAACCATCAACTTGAAAATATGTGGTTTATCTCAAATGAAAGGAAATGGATGAAATGAGATGAGAAATGAAATGATACCTTTCTCCTTCTGCTTTCTGCATCTTTGAAGATAGTTCTGCACTTTGAAAACATGTTTTCCTTTCAGAAATGATACTTGACTACCACATAACTCAATACCATGCCTGTTGTGTAAAATTTCATTACATGCAAATATTACAAAAGCAAAACATCCTACATCAATACTTAACAAAGAATAGTATCAATAACATTTATACTAAAAAACATACTTACTTAAGTTTATAGAACTCTTTGTATGTTAAAAGATTTCCATTCCTTAGCCTCAATTTTGAATTTGCATTTAAGCCTCTTAAAATATCAGAGATACAATAGACATGACCAGTATGGGGGGTATACACCAACGAATTCTGAAGCATGCAAGTGCATGTTGAACCACTTTTTGTTCGTATAATTCCAGCATTACAGTTCATGTGACCCTCCAA